CAGTAGCTATCACGAACTTTAATTACGAAATTTGAAACAATACCTGTACTACATCTAAATCTATTCTAAACTCATCAATATACCGAATATTGGGAGGTACCTATGGGCTATATGAAAACGTGGACCGACATGGCCCATTTACGAACTTAACCTGCCTAGTAGCAAAATACACGTGTGTGCAAAATTTTAGACTTCTATCTCGATTTGTTCCAAAGATAGCGTGTTTACAACAGACAGACGGACATCTATACATTGACTTAGAATTTTACGTTGATCAAGAATATATACTTTTTTGGGTCTAGCATGAGTATTTCGAGGAGTTACAAACGGAATTACAAAGATACCGTAGTATGGTGAGGGACAAGTAAAAAACATTTTTATATAGAAGTATCTGGATTCAAACCTTTTCCACTTTAAACTGCAAATACTAGTGAGATCGGTTGATTTATATTACACGTATAAAATCGTATCTATTACAGGGTAAGATGAAAAAACTGCAAACAACTTCAGACTGCTGTCACTCGTCCGACAACTGTTAAAATTATTCCACTATCAGCTCACTATATTGTTCAGAAGCACACAAAAGCATTTTGGTGAGCATTTTCCAGAAAAAAGTTATTGGTGATGAAATTCAAGCGTGATAGTGTGATTTCTTTATATTTGGCTGAAAACCCACAAGTAGCTATCGTTAGAGCACTCCAACATCTAAATGTGAATAAATATTTTGTGTCTCGTACCATCGCTCGTTACCATGATACTGGTAGCGTAACCCGACGTCAGGAAGTGGACGGAAGAAAACAGCAACATCAGCAGAAATGGTTCGAGAAGTCAAGAAGCGACTTGGTCGAAACCAACATCGCAGTGGCCGAAAAATGGTTCGTGAGCTGAACATATCGCAATATTCCATTCGGCGAATATTGAAAAATGAGCTCGGGGTAAATCCATTGAAATTCCAAAAAGTGGAAGAACTTACATCGGAACGGAAAGAAAATAGACTCAAAAGAGCTAAAGAGTTGCTTCGCTTGGCCGAAAGTGGTGAACTGCCGAATTTGGTTTTCTCCGATGAGAAAACTTTCTTTGTCCAGCAGTTTGTAAACAAACAAAATTATTGTGTTTACTTGCCAAAGAGGTCAGCTGAAAATGTCCCCCTTCGGTTGGTCACCAGAACTCAAGCGATGGCCATGGTGATGGTGTGGGCCACCATAACAGCCGATGTTGGCTCTCCGCTCGTATTAATCGACCGTGGCATCAGAATAAATGCGAATATTATCGCGAAAATATTCTGGAGAGTGTATTAAAGCCTTGAGCACGCAAACATTTTGGCCGCAGACCTTGCACATTCTAACAGGACTCAGCACCATCGCACTCAGCACGCGCCACCCAAAAATGGTTAAAAAATGAGGTTCCTAGATTCATTTCCAGCGCACGACCACCTAAAGCAAGCGCTTTGCCGTGAATGGGCCAAAATACCGCAGAGCAACATTCGAGCAGCGTGTGACGGTTTCATTGGCGGTTTGAAGGCCATAATTCGTGCCAAAGGAGACCAATTCGAAGGAATCTAAACTTATTCTTAAATTTGATACTGTTTCCAACATTTTTTGCTTCCATTCAATAAAATTAAAAAAATATAAAAATTATGGCGTTTGACGTTGTTGAATTTTTTTTATCTCACCCTGTACACACAAAATCCATTAAAATTATCCCACAAATCCAAGATTTCTTGGCATGTATGTATGTTCTTGGCAGGAGGTACTTGGAAAATATGCAAGTCCTCTAAAAAGGTCTACGATTTTTGCCTGGGAAGTCCTTAAAAAAATTCGAAAAAATCTGAGCACCGGATTTTCCGAACTTATTTTAATGTGATACTGCCTCTATCTCTTTGAGCTAAGATACCACCTTCTGTAGAAATGAAAATTTTTGGAACACCAATTACGCTTTGTCCGTCAATGGATAACTGGTGCTTGGAGATGCTCCGAAAGTTCTAAACACATTATTAGATACACAGCAAATCCACCGTAGGACATTCTAAACATCTGTAGTTTTAAATATAACATCATCAGTAAATAAATATCTTCTACACAGAAACTTGGATAAGACTCTATATTTTTCAAACATCTCTCTTACCAACAAAACGGAAATCGCTGCAATCTGATGATGCCTAATGTAAATCCAGAGTAAATATAAAAAATACATTGTTTATAAAATATGTTCATATATATATTTAATCACTTTATTAATTTCTTTTGTTTTAAGTAATAAAAACTAAATATTAAACTAGAAAAAAAAATATAAGTAATAATAGAAAAAAGCTAAGGAAAAACAATTCCTTGGAATTATCACACATATAAAAAAGATACACCAAAAGTAATTAGTTGTACTGAATTTGTACAGAAGCGAGAAAAAGTTTTGCTTTCATGGTAAACACAAAGATAGAAACATAATTTTGTTTTTTGCTCTTAGCGATAAAAGTACACATACATCATTACATTGTTCTAGTGAAATGATTGCTTTACAAATGTTTACCATTATTCTTATTAAAACTGCTAGGTTTGCAGGAATGTTGTTCTTTAGAAACTATGGATACAATACTGCTGGAGGTAAAGTTAACCCTTGAAAAACATTGAGGAAAAGGAAGGATAAAAACGAACTTGTTGTATTCCATTTTTTGTGCAAATTACATAGTGATTTTTCATAAAAATAAGTGATTTTTAAAACAACAATTTATTGAGTTTGAAAAGCAATTTTGAAAATGGAACTAGATTTGAATTGGAAACTGTAAATTTTTCACTTTTAAGGGTAAATTTAGTCCCATGTGTACAACTTTTTGTATTGATGCAATCGGTAAGTACTTGATTATTGTGAACACACAATAGACAGTATTGTACCACAAGCGACATTTAAAGCTAAGTTACGATTAGTTATATTTTTTAAGTATACAAAGACTTACGAAAACTTTATTTTTAAAATATTTTTATTTCTAGCTTTATGTTTGTATATTTTTGTTGGTAAATATTCTTAAAATCTAATATGAATTGTAGTATCTATCACATTTAAATATACTTTGAATTGGTTTGAAAAAATAACAGTTATGTTTTTTTTTCTTATATACTAATTCATTAAGAATTTTGAGGAACTAATCCAGTTTTTGTTTTCCTTTTTTATTCGGTTGTAACAATATTTATTTTAGAAGTGTTTTGTATTAAAAAATGAGAATTATATTGTTTTTATTATGGATTCGATAAAGTAAAGTAGCTTTACACGACATAATTTCAATCTTACATCTAATAGCATGGAATTTTCAAGCCCATAGCGTAATACCTAAAAATTAAAAATTTCAGAAAACTAAATCTTGAGCATTTCTCAATCGTGACTTACTTCAAGATTAAATTTGAGCCTTAGGTTCTAATATTGATAATATTTGGGTCCATATACACAAAAGGAAAGGAACATGCGGAAGGAAACTAAATACACCCATAGTTCCTTTCGATATTCTTCATAAAATCACATTCTGAATCGATTTATACATGACCGTCAGTCTTTCCATGTATTTTTGTAAACAAAGTACAGGTGGCAATTATTGTCTGGTTGAGATGAAATTTTCCACAACTCATTTGTTTGGCCCAAGGACGAACCCTATTGAAATTGGTGATAATCGGTTTAGATTCAGATATAGCTCCCATATATCTTCATCCAATTTCAATATTATTGTCGCTATATGTGTAATATTCCTCCAAATTTCGACATATCTGATCGAATTCAGCCCTAAAAGCAAGTACTTCAAATTTGGTGAAAATCGGTTCACATATAAATATAGCTCCCATATATATGTTTCATCCGATTTGACGTTTATTGTGCACCAAATGATTAATATCTACCCAAATGGAGTAGATTTCTGTAAAATTTGTGAAAATCGGTTGGGATAAATATATCACATTTGTAATATACACCCCACAACAATGATATCAGATACAGCTCTGAAATACCTCTGTCAAATGTTATCGATATCGGTTCAGATTTGGATATTGATACCATATATAAATTTATCAAATCTTCTACAAAAATATTACACTTCATTCAATAGCTTGACGAACTTCGCTTGTTTTCCGGTTATTTTTCGATGAGTCCAGTCTGAAATCACTACCTAATAAGTTGATTATTACCTCAAGAAATTTGTTCCTCTGATATCACTAACTACCAAAGATGGGAAATTTGACTGTTTTTTTTTAGATTTTCAAATGCCGAAAAGATGTAAACTACGAAAACGTCATATACCAGTCTAAAACGCAGAAAAAGTATAAAACGTCACAAACTTCCAAAATATTGTATTTCGAGTTGTTATAAACTTTTTGGCAAATGAAACTTATAATGCCCTCAGTACATAATGTTGTAATGGCGTTTTTGTGGCACTTCAGTAGGACTACAAAAACAACAATATATCAAAAAACATTTAAAACACATTGGATTGTTGCTAAAAATTCATATCTTTTAAGCATATGCATGCTACTTCGAAATCATAACAAAAAAGCTACATTTTATTGCTATGGATTCGAAGTGAAATGTAAACTGCTTTGATTCAGGCACTCTCCTTTGATACCAGGATTGCCATGTGTAAAGAACCTAAACAACATAGAATTGTCAATGGTTTTTAATATTTATATCCATGCATTTGGCGCTGATTCATTTCAAACTATTAAGAAGACATATTTGACTGTAAATCTGCATTAATAAGGAATATTCATATCACAAAATACTATTAAGAAAATGTTGTGGAAACCTTGCAACACATCGGATATAAAACGATGTATCTGGTAGCCGGTATTATTTATATGTTTGGGCAATTTGATCTTCCATGAGTATCCATGAGAACTAAAAAGTATTAATATTAGAAAACCTATTGTATTTGGTTTGCCTGAAAAAAACTGGGAAATACCTACAAAATTTTAAGTTAATAAAAAATAAGAGCAAAATTACCATCCCACTATTGAGTTGTTTTCTACTAATTTGTGTTCACATCATCTCTTAATTATTATTAAAATCAAATTTTCGTGTATATTCCAAAATTATTTGAATCTTTTATAAATAATACTTTCATGATCGATTTTTCCAGCTCATATGTATTTTCATTTCCAATATCTTAAATGGTTTTGGTTTCGGGGACGTGTGTTTAAATTAAAAAAAAAACATAAGCGAGTCACATTTAAAATTAAGGAAAATAAAGGAGAATGCATAAATATGGTACAAGAAATACTGCACTTACAAACTACTAACAATATATAATAAAAAAATAATCGGTAAATCTATTGATAACAGAATAACATGGCATATGTATTGAATTCAATAAAAAAACGTATATCTCATTCTTGAAAAAATAGGGTACTTCATATTCATACTTCATTATAGCATTGGTAAGATGCCTTAGATTTATTTTACTTACTTCATCTACTGATGTTGTCGTCTACGATCTGCAAAGAAATAAAAAGACAAATTAATACTAAAATGCTTAATGTTTGGGTAGGTTTTCTTAAAAATTTTGCTCAAATAGGCATTTTACCCTGTACATATATTTTTAATTTGTGTTATTATACGGAGAAAGGAGATCGAATGTTATTTAACAACAAAGTAGACTAGACTAACCATTGTGACCTTATGTGTAATTGATAATCGACAATCGCTATTTAAAAAATTCTTTTAAGTGGCCTATCCTTTTTGAGTTTTCGCCCGGAAAGTCATTTCAAATTATCCTTTAATTTAATTAATTTTTTTTTTAATTCAATCAATAAAGTCCACACGGAAATTTTCTACATGTTGTAAAATATGGTGGATAAGGACTACAAATGTTATGACCTTTTGTGCTGCTGATGTTACATCCAGGCTATTGGACAGACGCGTCAATTGAAATCGATACATCACAATAGGTGATCCCATTAAAAAAGAGTCGAATCGGTCTTGAATTCAAGAGTTGTAATTAATTATTTAGAACAAACAAAGTAGTAAATGTATGAGGAGCGTAGAAAACACGCGCATATTCATCGTTTAAATGCCATGTCAGACATGTATATTGCATCCAATGTATATCACACATGGAAAACACATAACTTTTTTATCGACAACAGCTAAAAAACTATGGTGAAACACATATTATTCTTCTGGAATTGACAAGAGTTTTAAAACATGTCCTATGTGTCACTACTTTTTGTCATGCTGTAAAGAAATTGAATGCTGATTAGGAAAATCTACTCATATTACTCAATTACACGACGAGAAATACTAGTTGTTTTTATCTACTCACAGTTTGTATTAGAAGGGCTTAGAGCATGGCTACTTGAGTGCCGTTTTATTACTGATCGCACTGATGATGACGATGTCGTTGATACTGATGATGACGATTTGCCTGGAGCTTCCACAATTGTATCCTTCTTTGATGTGTTGCCATTTAAGACTGGATCACTATAAGTAATGACTTTTGGTATTGTACTTTTACCCTCAACGTCGTTGTTGTTATTCATAGGCAGAGATTTGTAACGTTGGAATGATGTTCGGGGCTTTTTAGTCTGTGTTGCTTTTTCAATAATTTCGTCCAGGGATACGAACCAATCATCAGGACAATCATCTTCTAGGAATTTCATATAAAATGAGGAACGTTTTTCCTTCGTAGCTGAAGCACAAGAGGTTGAGGAAGTGTCAGCCAATTCTAAAGAAGTATCAGCAATGCTAGCTGTTGTCTCTTCATAATCCATCTTTGATGATGACTTATCATTCATTCTTGATGATGATGGTTTTTCATCAGTCTTTGATGGGAATGGTTTTTCATTTATTTTCGTTAAAGAAAGTTGCTTACTACTTGCTGTAGGTGTAACAGCCTTGTTGCAATTTTTCGTGGCATCATTTTTATTATTCATCATCGATTCTACTTCCTGTGTTGCTGCCAACAGGAAACAATCCTCATCAGAATCATTGAAAAAATCATCTATAGATTCTCCTACGCTGCAAACGGCATCCGGGGGTGATGCCATTTTAACAGTCGATGGTGTAGATTGAGTTATGCTGACTACAGTATCAGCCGAGATTGTCGCCGGCGTTGACGATGATGATGTTGAGGTTACAGTCTGGCTAGTTGAATTAGAACTGCCAGTAGAACTAGAAGATGATTTTTGCGTTCCAGCGCTTTTTAGTTGCTCCTGTAATTTGGCACACCGTTGTTTCAGTTTTTGATCTGCTCGGGTTTTTTCCACCTTTCTAATTTGTTGTTCTCTCAACGCATCGTAGGCCAAACGTTCTCGGGTGCGTGCATTTGTAATTTCGGTGCTACTGGAACCGGCCGAAGTAAAGCTACTATCTGCAGCATAAGCAGAATCCGGTGTCCGTGAGGATAATTCTTCTTTGGAGCCCGCAGAATAGCGACTCCATTTCCAACCCACTTCTGGGCTGTCAATGGCCAGTGTCTGAGATAGAAGGCATGATGGGGAAAAACTGCTGTCGAATAACTTAGGCGAATAATCTCCACAGTCATCCACACACATTCCAATTTTTTTGTGAGGTGGTGTACAGCATTCAATGCCTCCATCCGAAGAAATAGAAATAATCGATGGTGATCGAGTTACTTCATTTTTAATGCCATTGGAATCCCGGCTACCTAAGGCACTGTTCGAACCAGCTGTTCTCTTTAAGGTCTGTGGTGAGGCTGCAAACGATAAAGGAAACAATTAAATCAACCCTAGATTTGATTGAGCAATTTTATTTACCACTGTGTCGCTTGTTGTTCAAACGCGTACTCAACGATAGCGAAGACCTTCGTTGCAGTTTCGGAGTATTATCCATATTGAAAAACTGGAAATTATCACTATTTTGTTAATATTTATACATTAAATTGTTATTTTATTTGATTTATATGCAGAAAAACATGAAAGAAAACAAATGCGGGAAAAATATCAACAAGTGCGGCTTGTCAAAGGTAGCAGAGTATGGAGCCTCTGCAATGACTATCGACGGCGTTGGTAATGTAAGAATCGCAACGCCGGCTAAATGTGAACTAACTGCGGTAATAATTTATACGGGACGAGAAAATTTAATGTCATGTTTAAACAAGAATTTTAAAAACGTTTGGTTTGACAGTATTCTTTTACAATATACCCATGGCAGAACAATACAGGTAGATGCATCAACGCTTGGGAGCATTGATATGTCAAAAAAAATTAAATGTTTTTTGCAAATATAAGTAGATTTTTATATGTTTCCTTATATTACGTCAGTCGGAGGCTATTAAAATTCGAGTTTTTGAAAAATTTTTACAAATTTAAATAATTTTTTATTCAACATTTTCAATTCCAAAGTTGGTTTGACAGTTCATTGTCCCAGCAGCTGTGTCGACGCGACTACCTATATTATTCTACCATGAATATACCTAACGAAACATAAAAAGTTTCAAATCTAATAGAAAGTTTACATACAAAAGTTTCTACGGATTATAAGGGTTAGCCCATTATTAAAAGTTAGACCACAGGATGTAATAGATCTAGCCATGGTAGAAGTAGATGCATCAACGCTTAGGAACATCGATATGACAAAAATTTTAAATGACTTTTCAAATATAAGTAGATTTTTATATGTTTTCTTATACGACGTCATTCAGAGGTTATTATAATACGCGTATTAAAATTTTTTATAAATTTAAATAATTTTTCATTCAACATTTTCAATTCCATTTCAGTTGATGCGCCTAGACGCATCGACACAGCTGCTGGGACAATGAACTGTGAAACCAATTTTTTAATTTAAGATTCAAAGTTATTCAAATTTGTAAAAATTGTTTAAAAATGTATACCATAACAACCTCCGATTGGTATCATATAAGAAGACGTATAAAAATCTTAATATTTTTGAGAAAAAAAAAAACATTTTATAAATTTTGACATGTCAATGTTCCCAAGCGTTGACGCACATACCTGTATTCTTCTACCATGAATGGAATCAAAAAATTATTTTGCCAAAAATATTTAATATTGGGACAATTAATATAAAAACAGTGATGTGTTTCATCTATATGCCGATTCGGATTCTAAATTAATTCGGGAATGAACATTTTTATTTTTGTACTGTAAGTCCGTTTCAGTATATGCGAATTAAGCAAATAAATCCTAGCACAACACATGACAACGTCAAACTTGAATACGTTTTGGCCTTTTTTTGTTGTTTTTGGTCAATATGTGTCGCAAAACAAAATCAAACGTTGAATCTGTATTAGAGTCTGTTTAAGCCAACAAATAGTATGTGTACATTAGAACTTTTTGTCGACAATTTAAATTTACTGGGTTTTCTTAATCCGGAAAACTATAAACTTACTATTTGACTCAAGTCTCCACTACAGTGTTGCACTTGTTCTAACGCAATTTAAACGCCGTATATAAATAACAAATCCAGTGGGATTAATCAGTCTGTTCCAAAATACATTTTTCTTTTGGTGCTCTATTCTGTCAAAACATATACACTGTTTGCATATTTATGTGTATTGCTTAAAAAAGGACATTTTTTCAAACAGATACAGAAAAATGTAAAATTTTGGGATAAAAGAAAATTGGATTAATATAATAGGACCAAAGTCGGATTTTAGATAGCCCTGCAAGTACATTTTTCTATTGAAAAAAACTTCTTTGACAACATCTCATTGTCAAAATGTGTATATACATAAATCAGAGATGAGAGCATATATTTGCTCTGGTCCATAAAATCCATGAATCTACTAGTTTTGCAATTTTTTCGGTATCATATAGAATAAGAATAAGACTCTAGTAAATGTTTGCATTTTTTTCTTGTTCCTTTTTAGTTATGCAATGCATACAAAAACCAATTTGTATATGGTTGCCCTTAAATAATATTTGTTGTAGATTAAGTCTTATCTTGTGAAAAATCTATCATATCCTTTGGCAAGGAACTTAAAATTATCTGCTCCAATAGAAATTTTGAAGTATATAGCCTTCATCTATTTTGAAACAAAAACATATTAGTCTATCTTCACACACTAATAGTTTTGTAAAACTGAACGAGGTGAGTCTTATTTAAATGTTTAAAGGTACGCGTATGAGGACGGGAAACAACTGAATTTTGTATAAGCAACACAGCTTGACGAAAAGTTTTGTTTATCGCTGTAAAAATTTCTCGAACACCCTAATACCTAATAAACACTCTCATTGAAGAGAGAGAAATGGCTGAGTTGGACCAATCAGAATTGTTTGCGTGTGAATGCAAACAAATAACACAGCATTGCTTTTCTTGGTAATTAATAACAAATACATGTATGTATATTTTGTATAATTATATTGATGAAAATTTAGTTAGTGCTTATTTCATATTGAAATAAAATATATAAATTTTCACTTATCTTTTTTTGGCTTTCGTGTTCGTTGTTATCATATCTGTGTTTTTGCATTCTGTCATGATGCTCTTCCTATTTAAATCAACTCTGCATACAAAACATTGACCGATTGAAAGAGAGCTGACAAGTCAAGTTGAAGTAGCGCTCTCCCTCATTAGTTGTTTTAGCACCGGAGAGTAAACATTTGAACGGGTCTAGTGCGAAATTTCTTTGGTTTCAAAAAAGGGTGGAAAAACCTTCCTGCATTTTTTAAGCAGACGTGGCCAGTAAAAACTTTTTGTTATAAATTAATTTAAAATAGTGAAGAATTTGTTGCATTAGTTAAATAGAAGAATGAAGTACTTACTTCTAGTGGGATTGTTATTAATTGCGGGTAGGTTCATTGTGAAAGTGAAAATTGTTATGCCGGTCCAACAAATTCGGCAATTGTGTTTTTTGGATTTGTAAACTTTTTTTTGCATATTTTATAAACAAAAATCCGTCGATTTTCAGGTTTTTCCCAGACAAAGGCCGATGACGCTAAAGAAGAAATTGCCACCGAAACAGTTGACTTGAACTTGGGATCATTCAAAGAAGGTTCCAGAACCGGTACGTAAATCTTGCCCCCTTCTCATATGTGTACTCACTCGGCATTTAACACCAACAACATCATTATCAAAGCACTTAGCTTTTACTGACATAGCCCTACTTTGATTGTGTTGAATGACCGGTAAATAGCAACAATTACCACGTCAGATTAATCAAAAACTAACATCTACCTTGTAATCTGTGGTTTTTGTCAATGAGAGATAACTTTGACAACATTATTTTTAAGTTCGATTGGTTATTTTCTAACAATAACTTATCATTTTACATATATTTTCAGATACCGATGCCGTTCAACGTGAAGAAGAAGCCATTAAATTGGATGGCCTTAATGTTTCCCAATTGAAGGAAATACGCGAAAAGGTATGTGTATGATCCATATTGTTGAAATACGCCCACCCAATCGCCGTCATTCACGTTTAACGCGGGACAAAAGTGAATGTCAATTCTTGGATAACAATGAAAGCGTTCGAAAATTGGGTCATGCTCTCAATTATTAGATTATGATCTTTTATTGTAAATTTGTTGGAAGTTCAAACATGACATTGGGCGAAAGCTCAAATAACATTGCATAGAGTGGAGGTTGTGGTGAACTGCTTAGCGGGCCAACGAAATATTTGTTTACGTTTAAAAATGTGTTTTGAAATTCAGAACATTTTTTACACCGACAAAATATGTTGCTCTACTGGGAGTTACTGAGAGATCAAAGGGTGACATATGTTTTTAGAACTGCAACTATTATTATATGTGCCAAAAATGATATTACTAGAAAAGGATTTCTTATTAAGTTCTTCAAGGCGTTAGATAATATCTTTACATCAATGATGATTTATGCCTACAGTAGATTTGATTGCGAGGCAAAATAATCAAATGTCGCTAGATTATTATGTGGATATTCAATATGGCCCCAATTCTAATCATTGAACAATGAAGTACAATTTCTTCTTGTGGTATCCTTGCAGTGTCGGAGCGTCATATTGATCTTTTAATAATGACATTTTTCATATGTGCATACTATTGTTGCATTAATTGTTGATAGTAATAACTAAATTGCTTTTTTTTGCTTCTATCACAAATTTCTTGCAAAAGTGCAATATAAGTTTACCTGTATATTTCCAGTGAGCAGATTGTCGAACTATGACAATCAGTAATACATATTCAGTGCGTTAAATTTGATCGCTCGATGATACTAATTTCTCAACGAATACAATTTCCAGATAAAACTTCTAACGCATTTCTTTTTCAATCATTATTTTTCAATCCTCTTTCCACTAATTTTATCATTTTCATTAGAAGATGATGATGACTTGTTACTCCACACAATTGATTACATTTATTCGATTTATATTTTCCGTATGACCCGGCGGAAGACAAATATCCAGACCGCTCCACTTTTTTCTAAATTTATCTTTCAAAGCTACCTGTACCAAATATTATAATGAGTATGACTTTTATTTCGCCAACCCCAATTCCTTGTAGGCCAAATGTTACTATAAACCACTATTTTTCGTTCGCAATCATTCGTATTTTCACAGATAGACAATGACTTGGGTTTCACTTTAATTCTTTTTGTAAAAAAATCACTTTCAGAACATTATGTTAAAATATATAGAACGATCTAAGTAGTTTTTATATCATGGAGAATAGATAAGGTAAAATAACAATACGTGAGATAAAGCTTTAATTTAACTTTGTAATTTAGAGTTAAGTTGCTCTCTGGACGTTATATAGTTATCGGCCGATTTAAGTTTCATTCATTTCATTATTAGTTTTTAATCAACCTCAAATTTCGTTTTATATTTAATTCAACGTCTCTTACAATGGTCATTTAAAATGCAGGTTAAGTGTTAACTTCATTTGTGCCAAATATTCAGCTTTTCACTCTATGCATTCCTCGGTTAACCAACTCGACCCTTCTGTCTCGTACATTTCCATAGTCGTAACAGAGTTTCCTCTATTGTAACTGGAATAACATATATTTTTGCGGGTAATGCTACACCATTTAAGGCGCCACATAATACTATCACATTACGTACTTTCTTCGTCGTCCACCTATGAATTGTTGTTGTTGCGACACATGATATTTATTTGTATAAATACAATTGTTTCACATGAGATGTCAGCTTTGTGTTGGCAAGAAACCATTCACCACAAGTGCAAGAAACCTTTTAATAATTTTTTTACATTTTTATTTCATTGCAGGCTGAGAAGTTTAACTTCCAGACAGAGGTTAATCGCATGATGAAGCTCATTATTAATTCCTTGTACCGCAACAAAGAGATTTTCTTGCGTGAATTGATCTCCAATGCCTCAGATGCCATCGATAAGATACGTCTCTTGGCTCTCACCAATAAAGATGAATTGGAAACAAATCCTGAACTAAGCATTCACATTAAAGCCGACAAGGAAAATAAGATTTTGCACATTATGGACACTGGTATTGGTATGACCCAACAGGATTTGATCAACAACTTGGGTACAATTGCCAAATCGGGTACTGCTGATTTCTTGGCCAAAATGCAAGATCCGTCTAAGGCTGATGGACAAGATATGAATGATATGATTGGTCAATTTGGTGTTGGTTTCTATTCTGCCTTCTTGGTGGCCGATCGCGTTGTGGTGACCACTAAACATAACAATGATAAGCAATACATTTGGGAATCTGATGCCAATAGCTTTAGCATTGTTGAGGATCCTCGCGGTGATACCCTGAAACGTGGTTCTGTCATTTCGTTGTATTTGAAGGATGAAGCTCAGGATTTCTTGGAACAAGATACCTTGCAAAACTTGATCCGTAAATACTCCCAATTCATTAACTTCCCCATTCGTTTGTGGACCAGCAAGACTGTTGAGGAAGAGGTGCCTGTTGAAGATGAAAAACCAGTGAAAGAAGAAGAAGAAAAAGAAAAGGACGACACTACTTCTGAAGATGATGTTCAAATCGAAGAAGATACCAATGAAGACGACAGCGATAAACCCAAAACCAAAAAAGTTTCTAAAACCGTCCACGACTGGACTTTGATCAATGACAGCAAACCTATTTGGACACGCAAGCCAAGCGAAGTTACTGATGATGAATATACTGAATTCTACAAGAGTTTGACTAAAGATACTAGCGAGCCTTTGACACATACCCACTTCATTGCCGAAGGTGAAGTCACCTTTAAGAGTTTGTTGTACATTCCTAAAATTCAACCATCAGAATCATTCAACCGTTATGGTACCAAGTCTGATAATATTAAATTGTTTGTCCGCCGCGTCTTCATCACTGACGAATTCAACGATATGATGCCCAATTATTTGAATTTCATTCGTGGTATTGTTGATTCGGATGATTTGCCTTTGAATGTGTCACGTGAAACTTTACAACAGCATAAATTGATTAAGGTCATCAAGAAGAAATTGGTACGCAAAGTATTGGATATGATTAAGAAGATCAACAAGGAGGAATATGAGAAATTCTGGAAGGAATATTCAACCAAGTAAGTAATATTATTACGATCCTTTTTTCAATGACTAAAATTTTGATTAAAATTTAAAGATGATATGTTGGCATTTGTTTTCGCGAGAAATGTTTGTATGTTATAGATTGTCATGTTATATAATTATCGCAGATTTGGCTACCAAATCAAATATTGTTTTGAATTTGTCATAAAATTTCGTTTATCTTGAAATTACAAATCTTTTTATTAGGAAAGATAGGATCGATTTTTTGTAATAAATTTTATCTTCTGTGAATATTTTGTAATAAATCATGTTTTTAATTATTTCTTCCAGCATCAAACTTGGTATCATGGAAGATCCCAGCAATCGTTCCCGCCTTGCTAAACTTTTGCGTTTCCAATCATCCCATGGTCAAGGTGTTACCTCGCTGGCCGAGTATGTTGAGCGTATGAAGCCGAAACAACAAAATATCTACTTCATTGCTGGTGCCAATCGTGGTGAAGTTGAAAAATCTCCCTTCGTCGAACGTCTCTTGGCCAAGGGCTATGAAGTCTTGTACCTTGTTGAAGCTGTTGATGAATATTGTATTTCTGCTTTGCCCGAATTCGATGGCAAGAAATTCCAAAACGTTGCCAAGGAAGGCTTCAAACTAAACGAATCAGAAAAGAGCAAAAATAAATTCGAAGAATTGAAGAGCACTTTTGCTCCATTGGTTAAATGGTTGAATGAAGTTGCCCTTAAGGGTCAAATCTTAAAGGCTGAAGTTTCTGAACGCCTAAGCAATTCACCCTGTGCCTTGGTTGCTGGTATGTTCGGCTGGACCGGTAATATGGAACGTTTGGCCATGTCCAATGCCCATCAAAAATCAGATGATCCTCAACGCACTTACTATTTGAATCAAAAGAAAACTTTGGAAATCAATCCCAGACATCCATTGATTCGTGAGCTGTTGCGTCGTGTGGAAGCCGATGAGGCTGACGAAACTGCCAAGGATATGGCTGTCATGATGTTCCGTACAGCAACCTTGCGTTCGGGCTTCATGCTACAAGAAACTGCCGACTTTGCCGATTCCATTGAAAGAATGATGCGCCAGACATTGGGTGTTTCTGTTGATGAAGAAATTGAACTCGATGAAGATGATGATGATGTTGAAGAAACTGAAGAAGCCAGCGATGATAATGCTGCAAATGGCGGCAATGACAATGAAGATGATGAAGACAACCACCATGATGAGCTTTAAAACAGAACACTCTGTGTGAAAGCATTTCATTAATTACTAGTTTTTAGACTGAATTTATAGTTTCTTGTAGAAAACGCTCAGAAGACATAATGGTAGACACAAGTTGCATTATCATGGCAAGAGGATCATCGCCGATTTGTGTTCCTTTTTCCTCCATTCATTTACACAAAATTCATTGTTTAAGTTACACACATATCTTGTATATTTTGTATAATTTTTTTAATTTATTTAAACTATATTCCGAGCAAATTCTTTCATTTTTGTTCTAAAGAATTACTCGGTGGTTGCAAACATTCAAATTTATTCTAATTAAATAAAATTATGAAAACAAAACGGAAATATTTTCTATGATAAATATATATATATTTTAAAAAATACATTTTGACTTTTTATTCAATTGAAGGCATGTAGTATTCAAGGAAACGAAATAAAACAGAGGTAGTCATATATTGTTGACCGAAAGAGTATAGGTGAATACAATAAAAATCGATCTATAGCACGAGTATGAATTTAGTCAGGGTTTTATGTCTTTGTGCCTTTGTTGTAACATGGAGAAGCAAGCGAAAGGAGGTATAGTTCGTTTTGGTGAGAATCTCATTTTGAGTGGAGTCCGTCTGTTCTATGTATTTTAAACAAAGCACAGGTTACATTTATTGCCTGATCGAGGTGGAATTTTGTACACAGCAGTTATATGAACTAAACAACCACGATATTCAAAAATATATAAAATATAGCTCAATAATTTTATCGAGATTGGTTCAGATTTGGCTTCCATAAATATATTCGTCTGATTAAAATTGTATTGTGCGCCATATGGGTATGTATGTGTATTTCTGCACATCCTACCGAATTTTGCCTAGAAGCAATTACTTCAAATTTTGGTGAAAATTTGTTCAGATATAGCCATAGCTCCTACATATGTTTCATTCGATTCGGCTTTTAAATCCTTCGTATTTGCAATATGCACTCCATAACAATGATATTTGGTACCAGACAAACCACATAAATACATCTTATCTCAAATTCAATTAATATTTTGTATTCATGTGTATTTTAAATATGAATATCTTAAGACTTTTATTATAGTTTTTTTTTTTTTACACATACAATTGTGCTTTAAATAACAAAGAAAATTGCAGAGAAATACAAAATTTATGGTGGAATAATTATTTTAATTCTTTATGGTACTGCACAAAACTTAAACTAGAGTAAAATAGTATTTAAACAAATGAAAGCACAGCTTTAATATTGAAATTTAATTTGATTCGAAATAACAAAATGAAAATATAAATTTAAATGTAAAACTTCGATATTAAGACGCCCCATATACATATATTATCATAACTACACCATATATATCATAGGTCATCTAAAAATGAAGACTCATTTTCTGCATCGGTATATGATTTATAGGCGTCTTGGTCAGCAATATGTTGTATGGCATCAGACCGATTTAAATCGTAGCGTTTCATAAATATCCGTAAAATCCATTCAGGCAAAAGGGCATTGGCGTACATGGAGGCTTGCTAAAAAAAAACAAATACAAATTGTTTATATACGTTATTATTATTTATTATACGTTGTCGCGTCGAGCAGTTGCTTTTTGAACTACGTCTAGTAAGAGCTTGGAAATTTTAAGTGACATTTACGATGTTTTAGTTGTTCAGAAATAGGTTTGCAATTTTAAAAAGTAAACATTTTTCATTAATACAAATCGATGTATCATCTCTACGGCAGCCCAACTCTCAGCAATTGATAGTACAGCTTAACCGGAATTGAAAACTAGACTTTCAGTTTTTCAGTCTAGTTAAAAAAGCAACAGCTACTTCCAATCATATTTTCTTACCGATGTACTATTGTTGCTATTGTATTTTTCTGATAATTTTTCCAACATTTTCAACTGGATTTTATGATCTATGAGACCAATAACAAGGCAATGATTAACACCATCATGACTTTTTACGTAGTCTTTTTTCCGACATTTTTCGAAGATTTGATCCAAGTCGGTTTTGTATAGAGAAAATGTGTCCATTAGATCTGTGAGTGACATGTCTTTCAGGCATCTATAAAAACATGCAAAGAAATCAATGAAATCTAAATTGTAGCAGAGAGATACTTACAGTTGTTCAACACGTTTCGGAACAATAGTAGCTTTTTCTAGTGCAGCCTTAAATTTTTCATTATCTGCAGACTGTTGTTTGGCCTTGTTGCGTATCATTTCCAATTCTTTTTCAGACGGCATTACAATTTCCATTGGCTGGGGTGTTGGTGACTTGGGGCGTTTCTTTTTCTCATCTTTGGATGATGATTTGATCTTTTTGGTGGATTTCAAGGATGATTTCGGAGACTCATCGTTTATCAAATCATCACTCTGTTGATTCTTACCTAACCATTTACTCATTCCAGCCTTTTCTTGTTCACAATCATTACGTTTACGTTTCTTTTTCGCTGATGATGATGACGACGAAGATTGCAATATTATCGGTTTGGTTTTCTTATCAGGCTTTGGAGTTTCAAATACCGAATGCATTTTATTATTGGCATTATTATTGTTGTCGCTAGATAAAAGTTTACTTGAATTGTCCTCCACTTCGGTGTCATGATCGTCATCAGTACCGAAGAGTTCTTTATTTTTTGGCGAAGACTTTTGTTTCTTTTTGCGTTCATGCTGTCTCACGGTGTCATAATCGTCATCGGTACCGAAGAGTTCTTTTTTTCTTGGCGAAGACTTTTGCTTCTTTTTGCTTTCATATTGTCCCACTTCTTCGATAAAACGTTTTGGTTTAGATGGTGAACGTCCGGAACGTCTTAACGTTTGTTCCGAAATGTCTTCGCTATTCTCCTTTTCTTCTTGTGTTGCATTATTGTCATTTGAATTTAATTTTTCTTTTCGTTTGTCCTTTTTCTTTTCTTTTACACCAGCAGCAACCTCTTCGGCCATGGGATCATCTTTTATAGCATCCAATGATGAGCTTTTCTCTTTCTTTTTCCCCTTAGATTTTGATGCACTTGCTTCGAATTCATCCTCACTAGTTCGATCTTGTTTCAGGCTACATGTTTCAGACTCATTTGTAAGATATTCTTTCGAAGAGTGTTTTTCGGTTTTAGGAGATTTATTTTTATTTTTGCGTTTTCTTTCCCTTTCCTCTGTGTCATTGTTTTCAGATTGTTCTTCGATTGATGGCAGGTTAATAGTTGACTTTGTGCCCTTATCGCCCGAAGTTAATTCTTTTGATTTGCTATCCGTACTTTGCGATCTCTTTCGCTCAAGTCTCGGTTTTGGCACTGATTTGTTTTCATAGTCTTTTTTATCCTTCTTATTTTTACTACTCGATGATTTAAATTTCGACTCTATTCTTTCGAATTCATCTTCACTTAGAGACACTGAACTTTTCTTGCTGCTGTCACCAGTTTCAGATTTCGTTGACGATTTATCCTTGTTAATTTTATTTGTAACGTTATGAGATTCCTCATCAAAATCGTCATCACTGGATGGTGCGGCTAGTTTATTTGTGTCTTCCGTTAACTTCTTTTCATTTATGTAAGCTGTTTTACTCTTTTCTTCTCTTGAAGATTTTTCCTGTTTTTCATTAGCAACCTCCTTTTCTTTCTTCGATTGCTTTTTAGTTTGAGACTTTGTCTTTTCGCCGGCATCCAAATCTTCTTTTATCCGCTTTGCGCCATAATCATCATCGGTTTTTTCAATTGGCGTTGGTTTATAAGTAGGTACAACTTCATGTGTCTCCTGTCTATGTGGTATATATTCGGAATCAGTCTTGTGTATATGTTTGTCCCTCACTCTAATAGATCTATGCGTTTTTGTTGGCATTATATCCTCATCTGACTCGAGAATAACTTCGTTTTCAGGATCCGGCGAACGTGTTTCATCAATAGGAGCAGGTTTATATACAGGTATTGAAATCTTACTGGCAGCTAAATGTCTCTCAATATTCGGAGAATATGTATCTTCAGAGCTGTCAAATCCCAAAAAGTATTGATCCTGAGGTTTTATGCTGTCAATACTACTGTTTTTGCGCGTTCTCTTTGTAGGAGTGTATGGTTTGTATGACGGCGGACTTATGGACTGTTCTTTTGTCGAAGGTGCATGGGGATCATATTCGTAGGGGTTGTATTCTTCTGTTGGCATTGATGAAGTAGCAGCGAGCTAAAGCGAAATTAAAAAAGAGATATAATATAAAATTTATTTCAGTTCTGTTTAGTGATATTCTCCCAATGGAACATCGTACATCTCCATATGAAGGAATATAATGTTCACCGAATATATGATGTTCAACACCTGTTTTAGAAGAACCTATATTTTGTTGTGGTACTTTTCCCAATTTATCAATAGAGTATTTTAAAACTTAAAATGTGTATTATTGCGAAATTTGAGATATTCTTCTACAAACATATTTTGGGTTAGTTTGAGACCCGATACTTTGGAAAATGTTTGCTAGATCATCAACAACTCTTAATCATATATATTGCACATACCTTGGCCGTTTTATATTCCAAAGAGCAATCTAGAACAGGTAAACTATCCTTACTAGCCACATCATCAGTAGCATCGATGGGCGGTTTGTATAAACATCTGTTAAAATACTTAGACGAGACCTTGGATCGCTTGATATTAACTTCTACATTCGGTTTCACAGAGAATTTATGCAGTTCTTTGTCCACGTCGATATCAGACCATTCCCTATTCGTATCCAACCATGATTTTAATTCTTTTTCAAAACAACACCACTGGTCGGCTGTTAACGATCTGCAGCTGCTAAAGGTTTGATCACCATTGCTCGTTTTATCAGCCACCGGGGATATTAGATGTACTCGACATAGAACCATATTATCTTCATGCTAGAATTGGAGCAATTTAAATTAATTGTTTCCAGACAATTGCATTCTACTTACTTGGTAAACGTTCAACGTGGTTTCAAATTTTAAATACATGTTTAAAAGTATATTCTACGGAAGATTTTTCATAAGTATTCTGCAGCCTGTTTGCTTTTCTATTGTTTCATTAACCCTTGATCTCCATTGCAAGAAATCAAGGATTTACAGTGTTTTTGTTTGGTTTGGACACAGCTACGATTTTGAGTCTTCTTCTTCCTTCAGTCTAATCATATGTCATGGTGCACATATGAACATATGTTTCTCTTTGTTAAGCAACCTGGTCACACAATGACTTATGTACACTTTATTATGTGGTAAAATTTAATTAGTGCATGGTAGAAGAATATAGGTAGATGCATCAACGCTTGGGAACATTAATATGTGAAAAATTTTAAAATGTTTTATCAAAAATTAGTATATTTTTAAATGTTTTCTCATACGACGCAAATCGGTGGTTGTTATATTATGAATTTTTCAACAATTTTTACAAATTTCAATAATTTTTCATTCAACATTTTCAATTCCAAAATCGGTTTGACAATTCATTGTCCCAGCAGCTGTGTCGATGCGACTACCTGTATTCTTCTACCATGAATTAGTGTTAGGATATTTGTATGTAAATATACAAATATTTATAAGGGGTAACACTCATGGCAGAAGAATACAGGTAGATGCATCAACGCTTGGGAGTATTGATATGTAAGAAAAATTTAAATGTTTTTTCAAATATAAGTACATTTTTAAATGTTTTCTTATACGACGTCATTCGGAGGTTATTATAATTCGCGAATATCAACAATTTTTAGAAATTTAAATAATTTATCATTCAACATTTTCAATTCCCAAATTGGTTTGACAGTTCATTGTCCCAGCAGCTGTGTCGATGCGTCTACCTATATTCTTCTACCATGGTAACACTGTTAATTGACCAATCGACTATTGTCAATAGTCATGATCAATCCGAAATGTAAACGCTAGAGGATGATGAATGAATAAACAAGTAAAAAAGCTGTAAGTTCGGCCGGGCCAAACTTTGAATACCCTACACCACTTGGAACGAATTTGGCAATTCTCAAAAACAATAAAATCCGTTACAAATTCTGTTAAGATCTTAAAAATACCGAATGTAGCTGTTACATTAGGGTATATACGACGATATGGGCCTGCATAGGAAACTTTTGTCATATTCAAATGTGAAACTTATAAAAAAATCGATGAATAATGTAGCTAAAATCATCAAAATACCGAATATCGGAATATGGGGGTTATACGAAGACGTGGAATTGCACAGACAATTTTCTGTCATAGGCTGTAGTATCTACCAAGGAACAATAAAAAGGTAAGGTAGAGCTACCAGCTGATTACATTTTTGTGTGCCCGACTTCTGTCAAATTTGTGTATGTATTTAGTGTTTTGAAAAAAAAAAAATATTTTCCAAAATCAATGATTGGAGGAAACTTAAATTGCGGAACGCGCATTAATGATATTCAACAGACTTGCCACGCAATTGAAGGATTGACCACTTACCATCATATTTTTAAGAGATCATTACCTTTCGCGCAATTTAATGAAACAATGAACAAAAAATACGTGAACCTGCACAGATAATTTTCTGTCATAGGCTGTGGTATCCACTACGAACATCAAATACCAAATTTGAAAGAATTTCGGTGAATAATGTTGCTAAAATCAACAGAGTATGGAATATCGGGAGGTATTGTTATATAGGGACTATACGAAGACGTGAACCTACATGGCCCATTTTCAATACCAAAAGTCCTGCAGACAGAATATACATTTGAGTAAAATTTTATCAATCTACTTCAATTCGTTAAGAATCTAGAGTGATTTCCACAGACGGATAGACGGACGGACATCGCTAAATCGACATAGAATTTTATGCTGATCAGGAATATATATACTTTGTGGGGTCTAAAATGTATATTTCGAGGTGTTACAAACGGTGGAGGGTATAAAAATTTGAGAATGAAATGTCAAATGTATAATTTAAAAAAAACAGTTATGAATTCATGACTTTATCTTCTTATTTCTACCATGAACTATTCGTCTGCATTTTAAATTTAATGAACATTTTGTTTTAAATTTAAATAATTAATTTTTAATTGTTTTTTTTTACATTTTTGGACATACAACTCTGACACTTGTATTACGTACAAAACAAATTTGTATGTGGTTGTTATGCAAGCCAACCGTTGGTACAACCTGGAGGGTTGTCAAGTTGTATGCTTCAGCCACAAACGATACAACTTTGTATACCTCTTTGTACAACTTCACTTTTCGAAGAATTCATTTGATTTATTAGTAATTTCGTGTTCTATAATTTACTTAATAGGCCTTATTTATTATTAATTTTTGAAATTTTCATTTAAATCACACATTTGGTTGGATTTCGTGTTGTTTTGATGTGCGAAACAATGGTGTTGCCTCTTTGAAAATAAACACAAAATGAAATTGTATGCGACATGCCCACAAACGTTATGCAAGCCACACACGATACAACCGTTGGTACAACCTGGAGGGTTGTCAAGTTGTATGCTTCTGCCACAAACGATACAACTTTGTGTACAACTTCACTTTTCGAAAAGTTCATTTGAGTTAAGATGACACCGGAAATAATTTCGTGCTCCATAATTTAATTAATAGCCTTTATTTATTATTAATTTTTTGAAATTCCGTGTTTCATATATTTTTTTTTTTATTTTTTTATATTTTCATTGAAATCACACATTTGATTGTGTTGTTTTGATGTGCGAAACAATGGTGTTGCCTCTTTGAAAATAAACACAAAATTAAATTGTATGCGACATGCCCACAAACATTACAATCGGATGGTACAACATGCCAAATATCAAAAAATTTTGATTTTTTGTACAACCGAGACACAACTTCGTACAACCGGGCCACAAACGATACAACCTTGAATACAACCTCTCCAAGTTGTACAACCAGCTGCTTCGTGTGTGGCTTGCATTAGGATTGTTGTACAACAACACTTGCTGTTACCGGTATTATTCTACCATGGTTATGCATCAAAAAAATTTTAATCAGTGGGTCCAATGTGAACACTTATTGTAAAATATTTTCTTCTCGTTTGGTAAAACCATGGTACAATAAGGAGGTAGAACAGCTTCGCAAAACTACAAAAATACAGAAATAAGGCTATACCAACTTCCTGTCAGACTTATTCTAAATTATATACAACAAGTTGTTTTCATTTTTTCACATTTTTCCTCATTTTTAAAATGAGTTAAATAGCGCGAAAAATGAACGAAATGCCTGGAACGTAAATAATTATTAACATTGAAAATTTTGAAATTGTAAATTTTGAGGCATTGTATGGTTTTTAAAAGAACGTATATTGGAGGACAAGCTAAGTCCAATACCTTCCTTAAGTTAACCTATGTATAAATGCATTCTCTATCCTTCAAAATTGAAATTAAGAAAATAAATTCATTCAAAGGATTCCTTTTCCTGTTCAATACTTTTCATAATTTAAAAGGCTATCGCCATTGTCCTCATGTAAACCAAATTGAGATAGAAAGAATCATTACAATATTCGGAATGGACATTTATTGATAATGTTGAGGGCTAAAGTAAATCGTAACAGATTCATGATAGGAGTAGTGATTTAAAAAAACCACGAATTGAGATCCGGAAATTGGTTTTAAAAATCTGCTATTTAAGAACCGGAGTTATTCTAAAAATAGTCACAATTTGAGACCCGATGATATTCTTTAAACTTCACGAATTGAGATCCGGAAATTTTGTTAAAAAATCCAAGATTTTAGACCCGGAAAAGTTCTTGAATAATCAAGGATCTGATGTTTTGAAGGTATCTTTAATGTTTAGAAATCCACGATCAAAATCTAGAAACGTTTGTAAAAAATCCACATATTGAGGACGACTTCTTTGCTTCTTGTCTTACTTCGAATTTTTGGACTTCTTATGGAATCTGATTTTACTTTCTCTTTCCCAGTTCGCTAAAATCTGAGACCATTTACACATTACAAATCACAACGAAACAAAATATTCTTGCATAATTTTATTTTTTTAATTTCAATGAACCAAAACAAAATTATTCAATGTCTCAAGATAAAATGTTTTGATTAGTGCAAAACAATTTGTCCGATTTCTATTTGAATTCGTCTTGCTTACAATTTTGACATATCAAGTTTTCACAAAAGTTCCTTTGTTGCAATTTTCGCCTATGTTGCTACCTGTTATTTCTACTATTGAAGATTCATTCATTGGGGGCGCGCAGCAAAAGGTCAAACCATGGTACAATGAAGACAAGGTAGGCTAACTTAGAAAAATTGCAAGTATAGAGGGTTACCTGCTTGGCTTGTAATGTCAAAATTACTATCAAAACACTCAAAAACCCAAACAACTTGTCGCATTGACTTTGAATAAATAATTAAAACCACGAAAACTGGATGAAAGATCAAGGTTTATTTTCAAAATCATATTCTATATATTTTTAAAGGTACAAAAACTGCAGATATCGTCGATGCATAGGTGAAAATCGATTAAAATTTAGATATATCTCCCATATACTTCTTCAACTGATTTCAGGTTTCGTTTCAGATATAGCTATAAGTCTCATATATGTTTTATCCGATTTGAAGCTAAAGTCCCTCACATGCGTAATATGCACTCCACAACAATGATCTATGGTACCAGAATTCAGATACAGCCCAGGAATATCTCAGTCAAATGTTATCGAGATCGGATAAGATTTGGATAGAGCTCCCATATATATCAAGATTTTTTTGTGCACCAAATGGTTAATATCAGCCCAAATGAACTGAGTTTTGGCAATTACGACTGAATTTATCCTAGAAACAAGTACAACAAATTTTGGAGATGATCGGTTCAGATATAGTCATACGTCCCATATATATGTTTCATCCGTAATATGCACTCCACAGCAATGATATTTGATACCGGACATCAGATACAGCTCGAAGACATTTCTGCAAAATTTTATGGAAATCGGTTCAGATGTTTATATAGCTCCGACATACATCATGGTACAATGAAATAAAGGTAACCTCATTTCAAATTTGCACTCCCATTTTCTGTAATTTACATTGTTAAATTTCTATGCATAAAAAACAGTTTCCATCTCTGATTTTGTCTGTGTACAATGGATTTATGAATATAGATTTTAACAATGAGATGTCAAATGTATAAATTTAATAAAATTGCAAACATATGTTTACAAGACTTTACCTTCTTAGTTCTACCATGATATACATCTTCATCCGATTTTACGGTTATTGCTCACAATATACATATGTATGTAATATCAGCCCAAATTGAGCAGATTGTTTCATATTCAACCGCATTTTACCATTTGGTGAAACTCGGTCCGTTATATCTATTGTTCCAATAAAAAATTTTTTATTATAATCCTTATCGAAGTTATATCATTTTTATTTTTCATTTTATTTTTTTTTTTATTTTCTTGGCTTAACATGTGAACTAAACACGTTATTATTATTTATTATACGTTGTCGCGTTGAGCAGCGTCTAGTAAGAGCATGGAAATTTTCAGTGACATTTACGATGGTTAGATGTTCAGAAATATGTTTGCTATTTTAAAAATTGACCATTTTTCATTAATACTAATCTATGTAGCTTCTCTACGGCAGCCCGATTCAAAAATATGGGAGTTCTATTTGACCAAAGATGATCACCCTCAGCAATTGATAGTATAGTTTAACAGTTTTTCACTTTAGTTAAAAAAGCAACAGCTACTTCCAATCATCCATATTTTCTTTGCTATTATATTTTTTCTGATAATTTCTCCATCAATTTTTATTGGAGGCCAATAACAATGCAATGATTAACACATGGTACAACAAAGGAGGTAACGTCATGAAAGTATATGTTTGCAGTTATTTTTTAAATTATTCATTTGACTACATTTCATTGTCAAAATGTATATTTACAAATCCAGTGCATATACACAAAAAATAGATGGAAACCTTTTTTCTATGCCATTAAAGTTGACAAGGTAAATGCAGACTTGGTTACTATAATTTGAAATGGGGTTACCTTGATTTAATTGTATCATGGATTAATACCATCATGACTTTTTACGTAGTCTTTTTTGCGACATTTTTCAAAGATTTGTTTTGTATAGAGAAAATGTGTCCCTTACATCTGTGAGTGGTATGTCTTTCAGGCATCTATAAAAACATGCAAAGAAAGCAATGAAAATCTAAATTGTAGCAGAGAGATACTTACAGTTGTTCAACACGTTTCGGAAAAATATTAACTTTTTCCAGTGCAGCCTTAAATTTTTCATTAATTGCAGACTGTTGTTTCAGGCGACATTACAATTTCCATTGGCTGGGGTGATGGTGACTTGAGACGTTTCCTTTTGTCATCTTTGGATAATGATTTAATCTTTTTGGTGCATTTCAAGGATGATTTCGGAGACTCATCGTTTATCAAATCATCACTCTGTTGATTCTTGCCTAACCATTTACTCTTTCCAGCCTTTTCTTGTTCACAATCATCATTTTTACGTTTATTTTTCGCCGATGGTGATGGCGACGAAGATTGCATAATTATCGCTTTGGTTTTCTTATCAGTCTTTGGAGTTTCAAACACCGAATGCATTTTACTATTGACATTATTATTGTTGTCGCTGGATAAAAGTTTACTTGAATTGTCCTCCACTTCGTTGTCATCATCGTCATCGGTACCGAAGAGTTCTTTATTTTTTGGCGAAGACTTTTGTTTCTTTTTGCGTTCATGCTGTCCCACTTCTTCGATAAAACGTTTTGGCCTTAACGGTTGTTCCGTAATGTCTTTGCTATTCTCCTTTTCTTCTTGTGTTGCATTATTGTCATTTGTTTTTAGTTTTTCTTTTCGTTTGTCCTTTTTCTTTTCTTTTACACCAGCAGCAACCTCTTCAGCAATGTGCTCATCCTGTATAGCTCCAAATGATGATCTTTTCTCTTTCTTTTTCCCCTTAGATTTTGATGCACTCGCTTCAAATTCATCCTCACTAGTTCGATGTTGTTTCAGGCTACATGTTTCAGACTCATTTGTAAGATATTCTTTCGAAGAGTGTTTTTCGTTTTTAGGAGATTTATTTTTATTTTTGCGTTTTCTTTCCCATTCCTCTGTGTCATTTTTTTCAGATTGTTCTTCGATTGATGGCAGGTTAATAGTTGACTTTGTGCCCTTATCGCCCGAAGTTGATTCTTTTGATTTGCTATCCGTACTTTGCGATCTCTTTCGCTCAATTTTCGGCTTAGGCACTGATTTGTTTTCATAGTCTTTTTTATCCTTCTTATTTTTACTACTCGATGATTTATCTTTCGACTCTATTCTTTCGAATTCATCTTCACTCAGAGACACTGAACTTTTCTTGCTGCTGTCACCAGTTTCAGATTTCGTTGACGTTTTATCCTTGTTAATTTTATATGTAACGTTATGAGATTCCTCATCAAAATCGTCATCACTGGATGGTGCGGCTAGTTTATTTGTGTCTTCCGTTAACTTCTTTTCATTTATGTAAGCTGTTTTACTCTTTTCTTCTCTTGAAGATTTTTCCTGTTTTTCATTAGCAACCTCCTTTTCTTGCTTCGATTGCTTTTTAGTTTGAGACTTTGTCTTTTCGCCGGCATCCAAATCTTCTTTTATCCGCTTTCTACCATAATCATCATCGGTTTTTTCAATTGGCGTTGGTTTATAAGCAGGTACAACTTCGTGTGTCTCCTGACTATGTGGTATATATTCGGAATCAGTCTTGTATATATGTTTGTCTCTTACTCTAATAGATCTATGCGTTTTTGTTGGCATTATCTCCTCCTCTGACTCGAGAATAACTTCGTTATCAGGATCTGGCGAACGTATTTCATCAATAGGAGCAGGTTTATATACCGGTATTGAAATCTTACTGGCAGCTAAATGTCTCTCAATATTCGGAGAATATGTATCTTCAGAGCTGTCAAATCCCAAAAAGTTTAGGCCCTGAGGTTTTATGTTATCAATACTACTGTTTTTGCGCGTTCTCTTTGTAGGAGTGTATGGTTTGTATGACGGCGGACATATGGACTGTTCTTTTGTCGAAGGTACATGGGGATCATATTCGTAGGGGTTGTATTCTTCTGTGGGTATTGTTGTAGTAGCAACGACCTATAGCGTAATTAAAAAAAAAAAAACAGATATAATAATATAACATTTGTTTCAGTTCTTTGTTTCTTCTCCCAATGGAGCACAGTACACCGACATATGAAGGAATATCTTGTTCGCCGAATGTGTAATGTACAACACCTGTTTTAGAAGAACCTACTTTTTATTAAGGTACTTTTCTCAATTTATCAATAGAGTATCTAAAGATGTGTATTATTGCGAAATTTAGGACATTTGGGTTAGTTCGAGACCCGATACTTCGGAAAATATGGATCCTCAATAAAAACGATATATGCGAACTTGTATTTGATTACAAAAATATTACCTATATAAAATAGACAAAATGAAAAGTGATTATTTGTATGTCATGACAGTTCTGTGTGAGACCATCATGAAACATATGTTTCTTAGTAAAACTTGCAATGCAATAAATTGTCTGAAGTAAAAGTCATTTAAACAATATTTCGTAATTGAAATTCAAATAAAAAAGATTGCTAGATCGTCAACAACTCGTAATCATATAGATATTGTACTTACCTTGGCCGTTTTATATTCCAAAGAGCAATCTAGAACAGGTAAACTATCATTACTAGCCACATCATCAGTAGCATCGATGGGCGGTTTGTATAAACATCTGTTAAAATACTTAGACGAAACCTTGGATCGCTTGATCTTAACTTCTACATTCGGTTTCACAGAGAATTTATGTAGTTCCTTGTCCACGTCGATATCAGCCCATTCCCTATTCGTATCCAACCATGATTTTAATTCTTTGTCAAAACAAGACCACTGGTGGGTTGTTAACGGTCTACAGGTGCTAAAGGTTTTATCACCATTGCTCGTTTTATCAGCCACCGGGGATATTACATGTACCCGACATAGAACCATTTTATCTTCATGCTGGAATTGAGGCAATTTAAATTTATTGTTTCCAGAAAATTGGATTCTACTTACTTGGTAAACGTTCAACGTGGTTTCAAATTTTAAATACATGTTTAAAAGTATATTCTACGGAAGGGTTTTCATAAGTATTATGCAGCCTGTTTGCTTTTCTATTGTTTCTTTAACCCTTGATCACCATTGCAAGAAATCAAGGATTTACAGTGTTTTTTTTGGTTTGGACACAGCTACGATTTTGAGTCTTCTTCTTCCTTCAGTCTAATCACATGTCATGGTGCACATATGAACATATGTTTCTCTTTGTTAAGCAACCTGGTCACACAATGACTTATGGAAACTTAATTTTGTGGTAAATTCATTTAGTGTAAGGCATGGTAGAATAATACAGGTAACAGCAAATGTTGTTGTGCAACAATCGTAACAAAAACCACATACAAATTTGTTTTTGTGCATAATACAAGTTTCAGAGTCCAAAATCCAAAAATGTAAACGAAATAATTAATTTTCAATAAATTATTTTAATTTCAAAAATATACATTTTCGGAATTTGGATTATTATGGAACGGATTATGGAACCGTCAATTAATTGTTAATTTGTTTTAGTGTTTAATTTTAAGTAGGTCTATTAGGATTAAGGATATTATAATTAATTTAGAGTAGTCATGTATATAAGTTTTTGGAACCCTCGGCTAGGTTTCTGTACAAATTGAAAATAAATAATAATAATAAAATAAAAATAAATAAATTGAATAGAAGAAGAATAGTTCTTAAAATATTTAATTTTAATGGTTTCACATCATTCCCCTGAATGTTGGTCCCAATCTCTCAACACTTCAAGTAATCGCTAGAAAATTGCGGAAAAGGCAAATATCACTTTCAAGTTGAAACCAAACAGCATACATACATAAATTATTCTACATTTTACAATTTTAGGAAACATGAAATATGTGAATATATTATCTTATTATATTATGTTATATTATGATGTCGTTGTTTCTTAACGCAAAAAATGTCCGAAACATCGCCTTTGTCGTTTTTTTAAGTACGACGGTGATTTTTTTCTATTATTAGACATAAAATATGATCACATTGCCCTGCATTGAAATTTTATATAAAAAAAGGATATACCTATTGTATATCAAAAAAGTTAAAAAGCAGTAAGTTCGGCCGGGCCGAACTTTGAATACCCTCCACCATTTGGAACGAAGTTGGAAATTTTCAAAAATAAAATCCTTAAAACATTCTGTTAAAATTTTAAAAATACCAAATATAGCCGTTATATTGGGGTTTATACGACGTGGGCCTACATAGGCATTGTTTGTCATAAGCCATTACCATATTCAAATTCGAAACTTGAAATAAACGGTAAATATTGAAGCTGGACCTGCATAGACAATTTTCTGTCATAGGCTGTAGCATCCTTTACGAACTTCAAAATTTGAAACAATTCTGGTGAATAATGACGCTAAAATCATGAAAATACCGAATATTGGGAGGTACCGTTATATGGGGGCTATACGAAGACGTGGACCTGCACAAACAATTTTCTGTCTTAGAGTGTAGTATCCAATTCGAACTTCAAATACCAAATTTGAAACAATTCTGGTGAATAATGTCGCTAAAATCATCAAAATACCGAATATCGGAAGGTACTGTTATAAGAAGACTATACGAATACGTGGACTTGCACAGACAATTTTCTGTCTTAGGGTGTAGTGTCCATTTCGAACTTCAAATACCAAATTTGAAACAATTCCGGTGAATAATGTCGCTAAAATCATTAAAATACCGAATATCGGGAGGTACCGTTATATGGGGGCTATAAGAAAACGTGGACCTACATGGCCCATTCACGAAATTAACCTGCCTACTGGAAAAATAAACATGTGTGCAAAATTTTAGCCATATATCTCAATCCATTCGAAAGATAGCGTGATTACAACAGACGGATTGACGGATGCGCTATCGACTTAGAATTTTACGCTGATCAAGAATATATATACTTTGTTTGGTCTGAAATTAGTATTTCGAGGAGTTACAAGCGGAATGACAAAGTTAATATACCCTCCATAGTATGGTGGAGGGTATAAAAATGGAATAAAATCACATTGCCCTGCATTGAAATTTTTTATGCGACTTTTTGATACCCTACACCACTTTGCAAATTTAGTAGAGCATTTGTATCTTTTAAATTTGGACTTGTATTGCCCATTTGGTTCAAAATTAATTTGAAATCAGATAAAGATATATATGGGAGCTATAGCTATATCTAAACCGATTTCGATCAAATTTGGCATACTTATTTTCAGGCCTAATTTGATATATTTCCCTGAATATCGTTGTTACGGAGTGCATATTACGGCTGTGGGTAACAAATACTACAAATCGGATGAACGGTATATATGGGAGCTATTGCTATATCTGAACCGATCTTCACCATATTTGACATACTAGCTTCTAGACTCAATTCGGTCGTAAGTACCAAATTTCATCCCATTTGGACAAATATTAGACGTTTGGTGCACAATAAAAGGTAAATCGGACGAACTTATATATGGGAGATATATCCAAATCTGAACCGATCTCGATAAAATTTAGCAAATGTATTTCTGAGCTGCATTTGATATTTTTGTCTAAATATTGTTGTTACAGAGTGCATATTACGGCTGCGGAGGACAAAAATAACAAATCCGATGAACAATATATATTGGAGCTATAGCTATATCTGAACCGATTTCGAAATTTGGCATACTTATTTTTAGGCCTAATTTGGTTGTATGTGCAAAATTCCATACTATTCGGGTTGATATTACACGTTTGGTGCACAATAAAAGACAAATCGGACGAAGATATATATGGGAGCTATATCTAAATATTGACCGATTATCACTAATTTCAATAGGGTTCGTCCTTGGGCCAAACAAATATGTGCAAAATTTCATCTCAATCGGACAATAAATGCGACCTGCATTTTGTTCACAAGAATACATGGACAGACGGACGGACGGACAGACGGACTGACATGCATAAATCAACTCAGAAAGTGATTCTATGGAGATCCTCAAAAGTGACTATGGGTCTATCTCGCTTCTTTCTCCATGTTACAAACAAATGCACAAAGACATAATACCCTTACGACTATGTGGTGTAGGGTATAAAAATGTAAACGCTAGGAGGGGTTTCTTCTTTTTGGAAATGAAGAAATATGTAAAAAAACCCTGGTACAATTCAATCAAGGTAACCTTATTTCAAATATTAATACCCAGGTTTGTATTTTAATGAAATTTACATTGATCAATTTAATCGCATATAAAATGGTTTCTATCACAGCTTTGTTGTAAATGTATAATTTTGAAGAAATTTCAAACATATTAGTTGTGTTTCCGAGCCTGCATTGTGCTAGTTTTACAATTTTTTACTCGAAACCCGTTCCCGTAGCAAAAAACATACGCAAATATGGCATTGTCTTTTACTACTTTTTACTGGGAGAATTTGGCTGTGTAAGAATAATCCTATTATTAATATCATGGTTGCCAGGCTCCGATTAGTTGAAATGTTCATTTTGAAGAATTGCCATTTAATTGTGACATTTTTATACCCTTTGTCATTCCGTTTGTAACTCTTCGAAATACTCATGTAAGACCCAACAAAGTATATATATTCTTGATCAGCGTAAAATTCTAAGTAGACCCCAATTTTTAAAATGTTTACAAAATTGTTTAAGGATTTTATTTTTGAAAATTTTCAAATTCGTTCCCAATGGTGGAGGGTATTCAAAGTTCGGCCCGGCCGAACTTACTGCTTTTTAACTTGTTACTCTTAGAGCGAATGTAACATCTCTCTCTCTCTCTCTTACTAGATGTACCATTAAATGTACGGAAACACGACAATTATTGCATGACTTTACCTTCTTAATTCTACCATGAATATAAACACAAGTATTTATGGTAAATTATTGCGGAACTACTTGTTGATTCAATTTTGCCAGTAGAAACATTTAAAAATATGCGTAATGTCATGCTTACGTTAGAACTATTCACTGTGTTGTAATAACCTCGAGTTTATCTAAAGGTGCGATAAAATGTTTGATCAAAATTGTCAACTATTTCTTTGTAACAATCTTAACACGAAATATTATTTGTAGGCAAATACAGTAAAAGCTGGGAAAATAACATTATGCAGCATGGTATAATTATTACAGGTAGCAGCAAACCCTAGCTTATTTGACTCTATAGTAATACTAGTGTCAAACTCGATATGACATTTTATGACTTAATTTCATTACTTGATATACAATAGGTATACACTTTATGCTATAATATTTCACTGCACGGCAATGTGAACAATAATAGAAAACATTTCCTAATAAAACAAAACATGCCGTAGTAATTAACAAAATGCCAACTGCGATATTGCGGAAACTTTTTTCGCGGTTAAGGACCAGCGACCACCACATTAAATAATATAGCCGTATATATCACGGGAATCTCTATAGACAATTTTATACTTCTGGGATTGGTATCTATCAAATGCTATAAAATACCAAATTCGAAACAATTATGTGGGTAAATGTGACTAGGATTATCAAAATACCGAATATCGGTGGGTTTCGTTATATGGACAAATCCGTTAAAAAAATGTGCATTAATCATCAACATACAGAATATCGGGATGTACCGTTATATGGGGGCTATACCGAAAGGTGGACATATACATACAATGTTTCGCGAGCTAGAACCAATTATGACCCACAAATCCCGATTTTTAGACAAATTCGTGGGAAAATGTGGCAAAAATCATCAACATATCGAATATCGGGAGGTACCCTTATATGGGGGCTATATATTTCTCCGCAGGAGCTAGAACCCATTATACCATACAAATACTAATTTTTAGACAAATCCGTGAAAAAATGTGGCAAAAATCATCAAAATGCCGAATATCGGGAGGTACTCTAGTATGGGGGCTATACCAAAATGTATATGCCCATACATACAATGTATCGTCACCCGAGGTAGAACCCATTGTTTTGACGCTCTACGTATGTGGGATATATCGTGATTTGAGCGTCGTTAAATCAACTTAGAATTCTATGGGGTCTACGATGAATATTAAGGGATGTTACAAACGAAATGACAAATTTAATATAACCTCCTTTCCTAGGTGTAGGGTATAAAAAGCATGTGACTTTAACACGATATGTAGACTAGCCTTTAAGAATTAACTGATTTCTTTACTAAGTTTCTACCGATCCT